AAAGCTGAACCCCATACACAGAACACCTACTTAGATGAGGCATGTCCTGCAAACTGCCCCCAATTCTCCTGACTTCCAGGGACCATGTATTCATTGGAATGTCATTTGTTTTTCATCCAATAACCACAGATAGTAATGGAGTAGCCAGTATGTGTCAGACACTACGTTTGGCACTGGGGATGCAAAGCTGAATGAATCTTTGCCTATGGCCCCAAAGAACTGAAACTAGCCATGAGGGGCATGGAAATAAACCACATTATAACATTATTGTAAGCTCTGTAATGCAGGTAGTTAACAAGGATTCTGGAAATTAAAAGAACTTCATGAACATCTTTGTAATGGAACAAAACAAATTTTTTTGCACACCTAGCATCTGAACGCCTTTCCTTTTTGAGAGAACTCCCAATGTAGGCAAAGGGCAGTCACATCTCCTTCCAGCCCAGGTAAAGAGGGCAGACATTCTTCTCCCTACTACCTGGCAGGTGGAACATGAGCACATGACATAGATGTCCACTTCTTATCTGGATCTCCCTTGGATTTCAGCCTCTGGTATCAACATGATTACTCAGTCCCTCCACCTGGGCGTAGAGGAGGTATTTCATATTACAAGTCTGAAATCAGACGTGGTATCTTCCCCTAAAAGCTGCCCTGTTCCCAGTAGTGTCCACATCAGTAAACCATGCTACCATGTAGCCACTGGTACAGGCCAACAATCTTGGTGTCATCTGTGATGCTTCTCTTTCTCTTGCACGTACCTCCCACCCATCATTAAGGACTGCCGGACTTATGTTAAAATCTATTCCTATGCTGAGCTCTTTTTCCGGGTTGCCTTCTCCACCTACACTCAGGCCCCTACCATTTCTCTCTTTCTCTCCTGAAATGGTCTCTTAGCAGATTACTTTCCTTCTACCTCTGCCACACTCCTATATTTTCTCAACAAAGTTACCAGAAAAGAGAAAAATAGGTGTAAATTGTATCATCTCCTGTGTGATATTCTTCTGTGGCTTCTCATCACATAAGGAAAACAATTCCAGTGTCTTTCCCATGGCCCATGAGGCCCTCCATGGTCTATTCCCTGTCCATCTCCCTGACCCTATTTTCTGACTCTCTTACCTTTGCTCACTCCCCTCCAGCATTATTGGCTTTCTTTCCATTCCTCATGCACACCAAGATATGAGAACATGAGTATATTGAACTGTCAGATACAGTTGAAATGAACTTACTTAAAACCTAGAAGAGAGAAGAAAAATTGAGAGCAAAAGTGCCTGAAAGCTTGGAAGGGAATAAAATCCAAAGCCCAGGTTAGTAGGGGGTTTGGTCCTATCCATAGGCGAGATGCCTCCTCTAATCTTATAGGAAGAGGGAGTCCAGCATGGTTTGGAAGTAGTTACTGGATCAGAAGCCCAGGTGAGAGCCCTGGTGAGGAGATGAAAGTGGAGAAAAGTAAGATTAGGGCATCAAAACCTATCGCAACAAAAACCTAGCGCTAGGACTGACCCACACTTAGGAGTGGAGATAAATGGCTTGTCGTTCACCCATCTATTCACTCAACAGATACGCTTTGAGAACCTGTTATTTGCCAGGACTTGATATTAGGCACTGATCCTCGTGTTCAATTATTCTCTCTCAGCCACTCAACTTAGAAACAAAATACACACATAGTGAGATTTTAAAACATATCTTTAGCTTCCGGTCCTGTTTCCTTCTCTGTAAAACTGGAGTAATAATGATGCCTGCTCTGTTGATTTAAGTAGTTCATTATGTGATACTATAAAAGCTCTTTATGTTTCAGCTGTGGGAGCTAGACTGGTAGCTTAGTAGAGTAAGGGACTGCATCAGTTTTGCTTACTGTTACATTCCCCATAAGTGATTATTTATGGAATGAAGGAATGAATGACTATAACTGATTCAGAATCATTTTGAGGAAAGGGAACTTTGTCTTTTATAGATTTTGAGCAAGTACTGGATACCTTCTTACTGACACAATAACTGGATAACTCATGCCACATTGGCTGAATAGTGGCTCAATGAGAGAGTCTTCCCATGTGTGCCCTAAATTCAGAAACTCTCCTAAAGTATATACTTTCCAAATTCATAGGTAGCATGATGGTCAAAGCCATTTAGGTTCCTCTGCTCCCCTCTACCATCTCCAAAGCCTTTTGCAATGCCTTCTCTTACTTCCTTTTGCAGTAAGCACTGAGCTAGGCACACATCTACTCTCCTAAATCTACCAGCTTATACGTTTGGTACCATTTTATACCAGATGTGTCAGATAAAATACTCAAGATCCACAAATATCTTGACAGGTTGTCAATCAGCTGAAGTAAAGGAGACGAATCTGAATGGGACTCATTGCAAAGACAAACATTGAGGGCTAAGAAGGGAAAGGTGAAGAATGGGTGAAAAGAAAAGCCGAGCAGCTGCTCCTACGCTAAAGAAAAATGTGACAAAATAACACAGAAAAATACATCAGAGGAACTAAAATCTGAAAAAAGTCATGTAAAAATAGCTGTTTTTAGGTGATGTGTTTTTGCATCAAGATTTATCCAATATTTTTATAATATGAGTTGCATAATAAAACAAGGGACTATAACTCTCCACTTGAAATAAAAATAAGTTGTCAATGTATTTCCTATACTCAGGCTGAACTAATGGTAGTTCCCTTGTGGACACTAGCCTCCAGATCAGGAAGTGTAATTGATGATATTGGTATGAATTACAGTGTACTTTTTTCTAGATCAGTTTCTTAGTTCCCATGTTTTTCAGCCTTTTCCATTTGGCCAAATGAAGTATTTTTTTTTCCCTTGTCCTTCTGTAAGAATTCCTGTAAGAATAAACCTGATTTTGGCCAGCTGACTTAAGTTAAAAAGAATTCTGACACTGAATGGGCATGATCCTAATTGATTTGCCTGCATTATGACATTTAATCTCCATTACAATCCCATGAGGCATGGCCTTCTATTAACCCTATTTTCTCTGATGAAAAATTAAGGCTCAGATGGGTTAAGTAACTTCATCAAAATAGCATGGGTAATCGAAATTCTTATTCAGGCAAATTCGATTCCCAGGGGCTGTTTCTTAGCCTTGTTCCTCCAAATTAGACAAATTGATCTGGTGAGAACCAAACAGACACACACATAAAGACATTCAAACCACTTTGAAGAATATGTCACTCTAAGATGAGCATGGTGTTTATGGCCAGGGCTATTGCTTTGATCTGAAAACACCACGCTGCCCAACCATTACACCCTAACAACATCCAGCTCTTTGTGAATTTCTCTACGAGGCAAATTCCTCTTGCCTCATAAAAGTGCTTGCTGAGAAAGCTCAAAACCCAGTTGCAATTAATTATTGACAGAGCATGTGAGTTAGAGATAAAAGAAAAGTCATTCTTTCTCTACACACGCGATAGTAAATAAATTTAATTATGGTAGGAGAAGCTAGGGGATCTTCATCTGTATTAAGTTTTATTAGCTAAGACATTTAAAAGCGTGTCATCATAACAAAGAGGTCTTGTGTAATCCTAAATGTACCACTTTGGTGCAAGGCGCAGAAGTGAATAGACTTAACGGAGCACATGGTGGCAGATGGCCTGCTGTACTGACAGGTATTGAACAGGTTTATCATCAATTAACTTTGGGCTACATATGCCTATAGCGAATTGACTGTATAATAGCATCCTAAGCTTCATTTTAGCATTGATAAGCCTGCCACATTCAGATTAGGGGAAAATGGCATGGAACCCCCTTAATATTAATATCTTGGAGCTCCCAAATAAGATAAGGTCATTCTGGAAGCAAACTTGGATGGAGGGATGGGAGTGGAGGAGCAACCTTAGCAAGGGAACTAAGTGATATGGACCCTGGTATGGGATCTGTCAGTGGCTTGCTGGGCTATTCTAAGAGCAGAGAAAGAATAAAATTCCATATATTGAACCAGACCTATGCTACATCTTTCATCTTACATGTTGTTTTACTCTCAACCAAATTTGAGGTAGGTTTTAGGATTTTACAAACAAGAATAATAAACCTCAAAGATGTAATTCAATTTGCTGAGATCACAAAGCCTGTCTGATTTCCATGTTTATTCCCCGCCCCTGGGCTTCAGTTTTCTCACTTGCACAATAATGCCTTTGGATCAAGTTGGGGATCAGCAGATTCTTTCTTAAAGGAACAAAGAGTAAATACCTCAGGCCCTTTAGGCCTTATGGTCTCTGTCTGACCTCCTCAGCTCTGCTGTGTTAGTGTAAAAGCAGGCTAGATGAATATGTAAATGAATGAGTGTGGCTGTGTTCCAATGGAACTGGATCTATAAACTTTGAAATTTGAATTCTGTATAATTTTCATGCATCATAAAATGTTTTATTAGTGTCATTTTTGTTCCCCCCACCCCACGACGATTCAGAGATTACAAATCATTCTTAGCTGTGAGTTATACGAAAACAGAAGGCAGGAGGTAGTTCGCCAATCCTGGACTCAGTAAGCTTTGAGGTCTTGTTGGGCTCAAAGATTTTTCTCAAAACGACTACAACAATAATAATGTCCTTAATGTATTGAGCTCTTACATATGCCAGCTTCATTGCTCAATGCTTTCTAAGCATTATCTCCCTTAATCCTTGTACTACAGTGTGAAGTCGGTGCTTTCATTATCTCCATTTCAGAGAGATAATGAAATATATAGAGAAATCTAATATGTAGAGAAATCAAGGGTGTATCTAGGTTAAACGTAACTGGTAAGAGGTAGAACAGCCTTTTCAAACCAGGGAATATAAGGTTCCCAGGAGAGAATGCAAATGCCTTATGTCCCCTTGTCTGATAATACGCAGTCAAAATAAGATAAAACTGTAGTTGGGACACGTAGGTGAGAAGAACTTCTGAGTGTTTATCAATTTCATTGGGTGGTTTCGAACTAGGTTGTTTATATTACACATTTTGTACAGAGAAGTTACAGTATTTCCGGATAGGAATAACCATTCTCTTCCTTTTTCCTCCCTCTCCTAGAAATGTGATGCCCAAGACTCTGGATGGGCAAATAACCATGGAGAAAACTCCAAGTTACTTTGTGACAAATGAGGCTCCCAAGCGCATTCACTCCATGGCCAAGGACATCAAACTGATTGTGGTGGTGAGAAATCCCGTGACCAGGGCCATCTCTGACTACACGCAGACACTGTCAAAGAAACCCGAGATCCCCACCTTTGAGGTGCTGGCCTTCAAAAACCGGACCCTCGGGCTGATAGACGCTTCCTGGAGTGCCATTCGGATAGGGATCTATGCTCTGCACCTGGAAAACTGGCTCCAGTATTTCCCTCTCTCCCAGATCCTCTTTGTCAGTGGTGAGCGACTCATTGTGGACCCCGCTGGGGAAATGGCCAAAGTACAGGATTTTCTAGGCCTCAAACGTGTTGTGACTGAGAAGCATTTCTATTTCAACAAAACCAAGGGGTTCCCTTGCCTAAAGAAGCCAGAAGACAGCAGTGCCCCGAGGTGCTTAGGCAAGAGCAAAGGTCGGACTCACCCTCGCATTGACCCAGATGTCATCCACAGACTGAGGAAATTCTACAAACCCTTCAATATGATGTTTTACCAAATGACTGGTCAAGATTTTCAGTGGGAACAGGAAGAGGGTGATAAATGAGGCTAGAGAGGCAGAGGAAGGCTAGTGAATGGCTAAGGAGGCTCCTTGCCAGAGTCCTTGAATACCCCAGCTTCTGCAGCTTCACTTACTGGAGTGCCAAGTAGATCTCCTCCTCCTTCATGCAGCCCACATTGCCTCTAGTGCTGTTAGTCGAGGCAAGCAGGTGGATCCCACGGCATCCCCATGGAAGAACCAGGCCCATCTGGGCAGCAGCATCTGGTTGACCAGATGGCCACCAGAACCTGCTGTTAATTCTTCTCTTCTGTTGGTTAATCTAGCCTGAAGACAGAGGATAAATAGCTGTCAATGTCAGAGACAGTGCTATTAATGTTTATGTGAATGACAAAAAAGGTCTACTTATGGGGGTTCTCCCTTTAGTTTGGGGAGCCAGGGTTCTAGCCCTGTATCTGTCCTGGGCACCTGCTGTCTAAACTTCTGCCTGGGCTTCTCTCCAGAATGCACTTTGTGGCTGCGTGCTCCAGGACTCCTAGGGAGCAAGGCCCTCCCTCTAAGGTGTTTCTAGTCTTCTCTTTAAAGGCCTCATCCCACAACCCCTGACTTCCTCCCACCCCACATCGTGAAGGCAGAGGCATGCATGTTCCTCACCAAAAGCACACCCACACACATAAAACAAACAAAAAGGAAACTAAAAGCTGACGCCCCTCAAAGCCTTCTTTCCAAGAGCCCTCTAAATGGGGTTGGGTCTCACTCTTCATGAATATCCTGGGTTGTGGAGAAGCTTAGCATATGCCCTTGTGTTCAGATCAGGCCCACTGGGCTGCTCTAAGAGTAGGGTAATTGTAGCTGAGGTCAGAGCTCTGAGGTTGGCAGAGATGAGTGGCCACATCTTGGGGTAAAAGAAGAAATCCTGTCCTTTTGGTGGGAGGTTGCTTTACCTGAAGCCCATCTCTCCCAAGCACTGTGGTTTGAGGCATGTTTCCTAGGGTCCCCAGAAGGACAAAGACCCGAGAGTTGACACGTCTGTTATTAGGAATAACCCTTAGCCATGTATTGGGGAGAGGAGCAGTCACACTTCTTCTATGTGCCCCCCTACCACCTCCTCAGGCTTCATATTCTTTATTTAGAAATGACAGAGTGGGGTAGTGGCGAGAGGGCTGAGTCCATTCATCAGATCCAGTTTATGGGAATTGGGGGTGAGCAAGGGCTGTCTGCAGACACCCCCACTAAGGGCTGCTGAATGAAGTGTCCCTTCCCATCAGTTTGATTCAACTAAAAAGCACCATTTGACATAAAGCACTTGTTCACAGATCTCCAAAACCAGAAATTGTTCTAGTAAAACTGGAAATTTGTATGAGTGGGGGGAGTTAAATCTGTTCAGCTGTTATTAAACTGTCATTTCTCCCGCTATATGAAAACCGTGTTGTTATAAAGCTTAATGCAACCTGATTAATGTTTCAGTGGTGTGTTTATGTTGATCACCCTCATCCTTACCCCTACCCTGGAATGGCAGAAGCATCCACTCTCTGGGATGGCCAGAAAGTCCCAGATTCAAGAAACGTCAGAAGGTTCTGTCTGCAAAGTACAATGAATCTTGCAATAGTACAAAGCAGGTGGGTTCTAAAAGAGGTGCAGCAAGGAATGGACCAATAAGCCGGATTCATAAACAGCCTATGATGTTTCCAAACAATAAAGCAGGTATTGAGCCGAAGGCAACAGCTATACCTGCACTACCAACGTAAAAGAAGAAACAGATCAAAATGCATACATATACATTTGATAGAAGAAGATGCACACTTATTTAGAAGGGCAAACCGTGGGACTTATGGGGGGTTTGCTTTCACAAGCAGAGCAAGGAGCGAGTGAGTTTCAGCCCTTACCACCCATCAGAGTCAGCCACAGAGTCTTCAAGCTACAGCTTCCAGAGCTGTTTCAGACCTGTTAGTGAATCAGAAACTCTAAGGTGAGGCTTAGGAATTCATCCTTTCAAAAATATTCTTAGGGAAGCTGAAATGGAAAGCAACTGGAGGAAAAGGCTTGTCTATGTATTTCTTTGCCTCCTCTCCCTCCCTCCCTCCTACCTACTTTTATGCTTTTTCTTTTTTGGTAATTATTTCCAAGACAGGTGACCTCCACAGTGTTATGGCTTCCCTGCAGAAACATGTGCCTTTTTGGAGTTCAATGGGAAGAAGGTTAACTGTTGCCCATATAACTTAGACAATAGGAGGAGAATCTAGTTGTAGCAATCCTTTAGAGAAATAAGTGACCTATTAATCTAGCTTACTCTCATCACCTCCATTCTGGGCAGACACATATTCATTTGGACCCTCAGTCACACCTACTCTCCATTTTCCATCTCCCTGATTGTCTATGTGTCTTTATAAAACCAGAACACTCAGACTTGCCTCCAAAGAAAGCTACTAAACATGTGTCCTCACATAAATATGTTTCCAAAATATATTTTGGAAAAAATTTCCAAATATATTTATTTTCCAAAAACAAAATATTTTGGAAAAGCAAATCCACTTTGCAATATGGTTAGCCAATAGTGAATAAGCCACTTCACCTGGGAAATAAAAGTGAAAAATCCCCCTTCAATTATTTATACATCCTTGCATACTACAGTACGTTAAAATTCCCTGGAGAAAGAGGGCAGAGGGCTAAGCCTTGGGATCTTGGGGATTTTATATTTAACAGTGTTTGGTGTTACCCTTGAAAACTCATGGTTCTGAAAAGAAATGCAAATTTGACATGTTTAAGGTCCATTTTCTTCAGTGTCTACTCTAGTATGATCCTTGTCACTCTGGGAGTGAGCCACTTAGCCATGTCCCCTTCTGCCATGTGGAGACTTGACGAAGGAATTATTTTCTATCCAGAAAAGCTAAGTCAACTTGCTGAAATAGAGTCAGGTTAATAATATTTCCACCCTATTTAAACGTGAGCATTGCAACTCACAGGAGATTGAATTTTGTATTTGATTTCAATTAGCAAAGCATAAATTATGTTTAATTTTCTATCCCCCTCCTTTCCCTCGAATGGATGATTCATGGCTCTGGGAAGGCTGCTGTGTGTGGTTCAGAGATGGAAAAAGGAGAATTCATCCTCCCAAATACTGCAGCTGTCGTTGCTTCTGTATTCATCTCTTTCTGCCAATATAATTCTGTACCTGAAAAATGTGAAAGCCTTGACACTGTGATGTAGACCTACCAGTTCAAAACACAATAATAATCAAAAGCACTCAGCAGCCGATCTATCTTTAAAACTGTATACAAAAACCATGACTTCAGAGTTGTAAAGATGTGACCCTTCTTTGGGATTCTCTGCAATTTTTAGGAACCGCTCAGATCAAATTTTAAGTTCAGGAGAGTGTGGCCTGCTCAATCCCTTAGTAATAGAAGTCCAATCTGAGCCTCACTTCTTCAAGGCCGCAAATCTTTTCCCCTCTCATTTGCCCACCTCTTTACTTCACAAAGAACACTTCTCCATTGCCTCACTCCAGTCAGAAGAGAGATCACAGGGTTTTATCCTTGCCTCTGTTTTTGTCTTGGACAATTAGATTTATCAGTATGAATGATAGTTTTCATATCTGTAACATAAGTATATTTAATTCCTATTGGCATACCACCCAGGGTTTTTCTGATGATCAAATTGAGTTAATAGATGGGAAAGTATTTGAAAAGAATGAAGTACTTCATTAACACGAAGTAAAGTGCTGATGATGATGTAGATGATGGTGATGATGGTGATAAGTGATGATGATGGTGATAATGATGATCTGTGGAGCTAATATGATAAGGATGATGATAGTGATGATGCAGAGCTGTTGGGGATGATGGTGATGGTGATGGTGGTGATGGTGATGATGATGATCTGTGGAGCTAATGTGATAAGGATGATGATGATGGTGATGATGTTGCAGAACTGATGGTGATGATGGTGATAGTGATGGTGGTGATGGTGATGATAGTGATGATGATAGTGGTAACAATGGTGAAGATGATGACAATGATGAAGATGCAGAGCTGATGGTGATGAGGATGCTGGTGATGGTGATGATTATAATATCTGTGGAGTTAATGGTGATAAGGATGATGATGGTGATGCAATGTGATGATGATACGGAGCTGCTAGTGAAAAGATAATGATGAGGATGGTGATGGCGATGATACTGCAGAGCTGATGGTGATAAAGGTGATCATGGTGATGATGATGGTGAAGAAGATAATTGTGAAGAAGATTAAGAAGAATGAAGAGGAAAAGGAGAAAAGGAGTTCCCAAAACCCCTTCCAGAACAACATGCCTTTATAGCGTTCCAGGGAGTATGTTCAGGTGAAAGCGCTGTTTTGCTGAGACCAAACAATGATGAGAGTGCTAAGAGAAGTGAAGCACCATTGATTGGCTTAAAGCCAAGGCCACAAGAAGAGCTCTCTATAAATGACATTGAAGGGGCTGAATTTCAGACAAACAAATGCAAAACCTTCTCCTCTACCCAAAGACAGGGTCTCTTCTCCACCGAATTTGTAGACGGGTTCTCCTCACCATGGCCTTTCTCTTGCTGCATACCCAAGGCTCTTTCAGATATAACAAGGCTTTGAGATTCATTCATACAGAGCCAAACATATTCTCTTGAAATGACGGTGAGGGTGATGTTTTTGAGCTTTCAGCCTATGTATTCAGTGCTTGAAGCTCTGATTCCCAAAAGTTTACATGGAAGACAAAGACGGTTGGGAAGCAGGGCATATCCTTAAGAAGAGCTCTCGTGGTTTTCCAGAAATGAGTTGGGATTGAGGAATCTCCTTAGGTTCTTTCTGTAACAAATAAGGATGAAAAGAGATGAGTTCATGCATTTCCTAGTTTCTCAAAAGAATGTAGAGTTGTCATGTTCAGACATAAGAGATACATGGAACCCCTTTCTATAATTATGAAATGTCTTACATGACGAAGTAATAATAGTGCATTTTCTGTCATCAAGGCAGGAAATCAAGGCTAAGAAAATGTATATGCATGAATGGAGGATAAGCAAAAATCTCTAGTGTCCTAGGGCTATGGGAAAACAATGCTGTACTAGAAGCCATGATGTTTTATTTAGTCTTTAATTCACATACACATCTATAAGAGTGACCAGGTGGCAACAGGAAGAGCTATGGGGAGGAGCAAAGCTGACTCACCTTGACACTTGACTCTTGGCACTCTCAACCCAATGGGGAAGATGGACATGGACTTAGGCTAAATGAGGAGGGACACACGGAATGCACACGAGATGGGGCAGGGTAGGGGGAGGTGATACGGAGGATAACCAACTAGGGGGAAGGAAAGACTGCCAAGTACTTGTGGCAATAAAGACCACACTCAGCAGCATTTATTCTCATCCCAAATCATAAGACAACTCTTAAAAAGCACAAAGTGGAAGAACCTACCAAAAGAAAAGATAACAACAATAATTAGGTAATTAGGAAGATAAATATTTGGGAAAAAAGACAGAGAGATGTGCATAAAGAATGTGGTAATCCAGAAAAATATTTGCCTGGAAGGGAAGATGCTATCTCGTTTTGTTAAGTGAGCATAGCCAAGATGTTAATGAGGAACATAAATCCTCCCAGACTCCTTTGGTTTCCCTGGTATTGTCCTTGGTCCAAGGTCAAGGGGTGTCTTTGATGACACTCTTAGGTGTCAGCTAGTTTTTGACTCATTATCAAGGAGGAAATATCAAACCACTAGAAATTCACCTTTTCTGAAAATGTGCTAAAATAGGTAATAGTTCCAATTAAAACAGACTTGCACAATGCACAGCTTTAATTTAATTAAAATATAAGGCAGACTTGGCCTCTAGCTCAGGGATAATCAAGTCTTACAGACACATTTTAAAGATGGGGACTGTGAGGACTTGGGTATACAAGAGACTTTCCAAACTTTCAAAGGAAGATAAGGACTGAAGTGAAACCACAAAGTGGCTGGCTCAGAATAATGGGAGCAGGAAGTGACATTACAGGCTGCCCTAGTAATAGTAGTAAACATGATTTGAAAGGGTATTTTCCTAAGCCCAGGGAAGGTCCGTTTGAATAGCTGTGATCCTGTCTAATCATTCTGGACTGCGTGGAAAAGAATTATTTTGAAACAGGCAGGAGAATTGATATTCCGTTTTAGTTGCAGTCAATATGGACATGGGAAGCCCTCCATGAGGCTGTGAACAGACTAGGACTGCAACAGCCTTTCATGTTCGGGGATCAGGAAGATCTTCCTCACAGCTTCTTTCTGCTCTGAGTGAACTTGTAACTCCCTGTTGCTGTAACAATTTGGGGGAATAAGGCCTGAGCATGAGATACGGAGCTCTGTAGTGTTAATACTTCTCAATCTGGTCCATCTCAAACATCACAAACCCATTCCATGGTTCTCTTCCAGGAGAAAGTAGAGATCTGCATTCAGACCCAAACCTGGAACGGTAGAGATTT